TCACCGAATTATTAGAAACGAAAGACAACAGGTCTGTTAACAGTGTGAGTAGTGTTCAACGTGATTTTGGCGCTTTATTGAAGAGAACTGGTGTGAGTTGAAGACGGTATGTCATGTGCGCCCTACCTCGTCCCCCCTCGCTGTTGCTGCCTAATGTCTGCTACAGATTAGTCTATCATCATTGAAATTAACACATTTTGCAATTGTCGCGCACTCAAGGCTTTTTTATTACACTTCCCGCCTTTGTAAAGCTTCTACTCTCATTGGTTAGTAATTCTTGAAGAAGTATCCTAACTGGGCCATGTTTACGAACTGCTAAAGAGTTTCAAACATGGATGAAGGTCAGTTGGTGATCAAAACTTGAGATTGTCAGTGAATTTAGTGTTTTATAAATCCCCAGGTGGACGTTGAGGAGACAAATCGATTGAGTGAAGAATTATTGATTTTTTATGTTAGATCTTCCATCATCTTTGTCTCTATTAATGTCAGCGAAGAGGGACTAGGGGGGACCAATAATTAACCAAGAAAATTGATCCAACAATTAAAGGGCAGAGATGATTACAACAAATGGATAATTTTGGGCGAAACATGGTGTAATTCAGGAATGACCGAGTCTTTAAGTTGATTGCGCAATAAACGATGAAAGATGAAATAGGCAGGAAAATAAAATAATTAGGACAATATAATTGGTGGATGGTGACTAGCAGTGGAATCCAGGATTTCGCGTTTCGTCCTACTTTGGGACTCGTCATTTGAATGTGGTCTAGTGGATAATGCTTTGGCTTTTGAAACTATGGGCGCTGGATTCGAGCCTCGGTGGGGACATCATAACCCTCTGGGGTATCCAAGTATATCCAGCTGACGAGTCCCGAATAGGACGAAGTGGGTGTTATCCTGGATTCCACTGCTGGTCACCATCCACCAATTAAATTTGAATTACATGCCCAGACATCGTTGAAGTATCTGCACAAGAAGCCGACATTTTAACCTGAGACTGAGCACCTCGGTGTTATCAGTCGATGGGAAAATCTAAAGAATTCATTTAAATTAGGACAACATTAACTCTTAAATGGCTTAGGGAGACTAGGGGGTGGTAGTAATCAGTTTAGCTTACATTTATGAAGGGAAGTAGCTGAACAAATGTCTTCTGAACATCGAGCTTGGGTTTATTCTGGAGAATTCCAATGCCTTCAACCATATGTAGAAGACGAACTTGTAAAGTAAAAATTAATGTTAGTCGGAATGCCATAAATAACTTCAAACGCTTTATTAACATAAATTCTATGCTCACTGTCTACAAGCTGTACTAAAACAAAGCTGTGAGCAGATGTAGTTTGTCCCTTGCTTAACCACACGCGATGATGTTTTGAGAAGTTCGATTATGAACACGTCTAATTGTACGCCAAATGTGCACCTGCCTTCACAGTAATAGTCACACTGGTAGATACACGGAGAGGAAGAGAAATAAGATAGGTCATCCGTATTACTTAAGCGTAAAATTAGTACTGCTGTTAAAAGACAGTATACCTTACCTGCGTTGAGTACTCCTTTTACTGCATTCTTCAAGAAACTGCAGGTTAAAGAACCAAATCTTCTTTGGAGCTATTACCAAATTGTCTTATCTTCATGGTAAGTTCATTTTTTTTAAATTAAAAAACGATTTTATATAACCACCCACTTTATTAAATGTTAATGATACTCATCCATGGTTTCTGAGCGAAAATTAGGGACTTCAGATCGCAGTAGTGGCAGGGTTGTGGTTTTTACAGGGTGGATTTGCCAGTCTCATGTGCATACTGCCTCTTTTTCCCCGGATTACTGTCAGCTAGTAACCTAGGAGAGGGTTAGGTTTTTATCGGGCAGATATCTTTAGAATGACGTTGCGTTAAGTCTTAAAAGTTTGTGTAGAATGTTTATTAGATGTATCATACAGTCAGTGGAACACCATTATTTACTGGATGCCAAGGTTTCGAACACAATTCATTATTGCTGTTCATAATCATATCAATCAATAATCATCACACGACTTTGAAACTTGAGTTTTATAGTTTGCTTTGTCCTCTCCTATTTGTCGTCGTAGGGGTAGTAGAGTTTTCCAGATATCCGGGTGGACAAGTGTTGAATTATTCCTGTTACGCCTGTTGGTTTTCAGTTGATATGATAAGCAGAGCTTCTGTTATCAATCTCTCCCTCCCTCCACCCTGTGACATTCGATTTTAAAACTGTCACCCTATCCCATCATCCTATTGTATGGTTGTGTGTAATTGCATGTAGTCAGGGCTTTAGCTGAACTATTCTGTAGACTTCTCATCTTATTCGGGTCAACTAATCTAGATTTTGCGGCTAGGTTTTTATACTCGGCTAGTCTGACTGCCACTGTTCCACTACTTTGACCTATGCACTTGGCCTGACAATCATTGCAGGCAGGGTATTAGATAAACTGAATTGTTTTGTTTTAAAGGCTCCACAGGATTCATCCTTTAACCGACAAAGCGTGTTTCTAATTGAGTTTGTGGGTTTCAATGTCGGCCGCTTTCATTTCTGCCTGTATTGTTAGGAATTCTGCGTAAGGTGGTTTCCGAAGTTCCTTCTTTGTATGGAACTACCATTGATGATTTAGATGCCTTATTGTTGATGCTGTCTTGCGCATGTTTGACATGCATGCCGTCATTACAATTATTATTATCACTATCACTAATATCATTATTTATTTATTTCTACATTTCCCTACGTATTTCCTGACTTATTTATCGGGATAATTATTAAGTTAAAAGGCTTCTTTTATGTGTATCAATTCCTGTCTTAGATTTTCCTTGGTACTATTGTCACTTAAACACTTCACCAATCATATTTTTACTGACATAGGATGAGATGATCGGAAGTCCAAATATCCGTTTGAATGTGTGGGTTTCCTGTAAATACACTAGTGTACTGAAGTTCCCATCTTCTTTCCTTTTTACGTCGCATCCTAACATTGGAAGTTCCCCTTCCTGACTTTCCAATTCATAAGTGAATTGAAGAATTGCCTCCACCTTTGAGTTAATGTGTTCGAAAAACTAATCTATATCTTGTGTTCTAAGTACAGTGAATGTGTCATCTACATACCTCCACCATACTTCGACGTGGGGTGAAGGTGAACGTTTCAATCGCTATGCTTTCCCACCTATCCATGAATATATATTTGCTAAAACCGGGGATATTGCTGATCCCATGACAACTCCGTCAGTTTGTTTGTATATTTTCCCTTGAAATTTAAATATTGTGGAAATCAGGCATAGCTAGCCGTACTGTCAGCATTATATCCTCAAATGGCACTTTTGTCTTAAGTTCGAGTTCTAAGTCAGAAATGAGTTCATTTCTGACTGCCTCTATAGCCATATTTATGTCGGTATACGTGTATATAAATTGATATATCTAATAAAAAAAACTAATGGGTAGTTACTTACCACCACACTGCCCAAGTTTTACACATATATTAATTGTGTAGAAAGGTCAGAAGATGACCGTACTTCACTGAAGAAATATGTAAACGCCCAATCCTATTTTCAATGTCAGTGTGACTTTTAAGACGATTCGACATTTATTGACTATTTCATATCTGATTGCATGCAGGATTTCACCATGAGCTTACATCAGTTAGAAAAGTACTGGAAAGCCTGGGAGTACTTGGCAGCCAACTATTTTGTCCCAGTTTGGGACTCTTCAACAGTACGCACTCGCCGGGTTTTGAACCCAGGACCTTCTGGTTACAAGGCGAGCTCGTAGACTATTGAGCTACTGAGACCCGATCCAATGGCTCTTGAATTCTAACTTCTGCCAATTCACGACATAGTTCGACTATTTCGCAATGTCTTCTTTGATGACTTACTGCCTCATTTTCAACATGCTTTACCCTACTGGTCACGGCTTCCGACTAGAACCCCAGGTTAACTGCTTGAATAGGGCCAGTCACTAGTGAGCATCAGATCAATTTTCAAGTATTGATTTTGTAGGGATTTTGTTTGATTGCATGGAGGATTTCAACCCGGGTGGGTGCGTACTGAAGAAGAGTCACAAACTAGACTGACGAAACAGCTGTCCAGTACTTCTAGGTTTTCCAGTGGTTCAGCTCATGTTGAAATCTTCCATGCAATCAAACAAAATCCCTACAAAATTAATACTTGAAAATATTTCATATCTGTCTATTCATCTTCTGTCTCTCTTTGTCTGTCTCTTTGTAGATGATGGCAAAAAAGGGTTGAATGAATTAGCGACCAGATTCAATTCAGCTTCGGATACTGAAGAACTCCTCACCAGTGAGTATAACCGATGTCAAGTATCTATGAAAGACATGAATTACGGTTATCATCATGGATATATGAATGCTATGCACCAACCGTCATCCTACAGTTGGTTAAGAAAAGTGAGTAATGAAACCGTCGGTGATGGATTACACAACCGATATTTCATCCCACCAAGATTAAGTAATCTTGACTCGAATCCTGCTCCTGCTACTTCAGCTGGTGGTTGCCAGTCAGACAGACTTACATCGACACAGAATATCTCTTCAGCCCTATTGTCAAAAGCTAGAAGACGTCAGATTGAAGGTAGATCTTCGTCAGTAGCTAATGATGCAGATGATGCTGAGAGGATTTATGGTATTGTCCCACTATCACCATCCTACTTATATCATCAATTTATGCCTTCGAATGGAGTGATGCTCAAGGGTATGTCAAGCAGTAGTCGAAGTAATCAAGACGGTGGAGAGTTAAATCTTCCAGGGACTATAAGTGCACCGCCTGGGACACCAATCAAGTTGCCGTATGCTCCACCGGCTAGTTTAATTGGTACAACGTCAGGATTTAGTTGTCCAGATTCAGGATCACAGATAATCAATGGTGGAGGTTAGTTGTGTATAGATAAATTCCTCTCCTCTACTCTTTATATATATTCAGATTCATAATTATTTTGATAACTTTATCATGCATGCTGTCTTCATTTTTAATTTACTTATAAAATTCTGTATTCTGGCACCTTACTTAGGCTCTTTTGTAGCAAACAATGCAGAAACTGTGGTAATTAAGATACTGTCCTGTCCTGTAAAAAATGATGTCACATCCTACTGTATTTACCAACTCGAATGTACATGTGGACACACATACATAGGTAGTACTTAATCATCTACCTCTGCAAGTAAGGACTGGCTTCACAGCATATGCCTAAATGGCTCCAGAAACAAGTATAATCTTCAAAACCTATTAATGGTGAGAAAAGACACCGACCTAGCTCTTCTATCGCGAAACATATTATAGAGATAGGACATGAAATTGACGTTAACACATCTTTTAAACTTCCGTATATACAAATTTACATGTATCTGCGGGAACAGTTACATTGGAAGGACAGAAAGAAGGGCATATTTACGATTTTCTGAACATGTACCAAAAAGCTTACGTCTAAAGGGAACAAATGCTTTAAACAGTGCCATCGCCAGGTATCTCCTCGACACGCGTCGGTCATGAGGTGGAAATCGAGAAATCCTTTAAAATTATCAATAGACAAATGAGCCCCATTCTCCTCAAGTTTTCCGAAGCAATTTCTACCAAACGCTAGAACCAAACCAGATTTATGTGTTCAGAAAGAAACGGCCATTAGTCTTTTCTTGCCCTGTTAGGTGGATGGCTTTATACTTTAATTCATTTGATTACGAAATCTTTGTCTTTAACCTCACCTCCTTTTGTCTCTTAATTCTATGATTTGAGTTGAACTCAACAGTACATTGTTACCTAATTTATTAGTCACTCAGCATCTTACGCATCGCTCGTCTTTCAGTTACGTAACTCCTTTATCATTTAATTTTTCATTTTAATTTTCGATTACAGCTTGATTCCACACCGTATTTTTGGTACAAGTATGGAATTTTCAGCGTGGATATCGGTAGCCCAAATTTCGCAGGCCGACCATAGATATCAGGTGTGCGTCGGCGAGGGCTCGAACCCCGGACCATGTGCATGGTCGGCGAGAGTCCTAACCACTGTGCCACCGATGCATACATTTATTTTGTTTTAACTTGAACTGCCTGTATAAAAAAAAACTATATAAGCGAAATTTTCTGAGCACTGTTGACTAATTGTGGAACTTTCTGTCAACTGACAACATGCAAAATTTGCAAGTGTGTTAAAACCTTTCTGCACTTAAACCTCATAATTTATTTAGGCTGTAAGCGGTAGCTGAGCTGATGCGAAGCCAAAGAAATAAGTTAACAATGATGGTACCATCTTCTTAGTCTTCACAAACCGCCATTGTTGTTCTTGCTTTATTCAACAAATTCATCAGAGGGGAATAAATGCATAAAGTTTAATAGGATGAGGTTGTCAGCCTCATACGCCCCCCTCCAACTTTCCCTCTCTACCAGTCTTATTACTGGCCTATTGAATGTGGCAGTGAGGAGTGCGTTGGCGGTCGGGAATCGAATCTTGGGCAACAAGCGCGATTGACAGTGAGCATTCTACCTACCACTGTGCCATCGATGAAAATGGCAATAATTCTTCGTAATCAATCTTATTCTCCGCATTTTATTTGTCCACAATTAGTTCAACCTTTCACTTTTGTGTTTTTGTGTATACATACGCAGGCGCTTTGCTTGTACATTTTGAACTAGAACCACACTGATGAACAAGTTTTCAAGATAAACCTCGAAATATACAGATAAACAACACCAAGATGTTTACTCTTTTACATTGAATTCGAGGTATATTTGGTTTTATTTGTTTGTTTACGTTTGATCGGGTTATTTTACAGCTAGATAGGATAGATAAACAGATAAATAAAATAAATGAATAAATAAATAAAATAAATTGATGTCCCCACGAATGACTGACATATTTGGAATAATAATAATCATAATAATAAATACCAGAGATGACATATGTCAAATATATTTCTATGTAGAGCACAGAAAAACAACACACAAATCAATGAAGAAATATTTCAGTTTTCCCCGTGTTTCCCCCCCTCCCCCTCATTTTCCTAACTGGAAATTGTCCAAAAATTGAGGGGTACTGGTATTTATTGATGATGATGATGAAATTTGACAGGGATAACTAACACTGATTCAGTATTCAATGTTCATTCAATTATTTATTGAACATTGAACAATTATTTGTTCAATTAGGTGTATTAATGTGTGTAAACAGCAAAAACATACAAATTAATCGGTAATTTCAAACTATTCAACTTGAGATTTATTCTTTGAGCTTCATTCTGTTATTACTGTTATTATTATAAACTTTGATTCCTAGTGGAATATAGGGCTTCAACCGAACGTCTGCATTGCCTTCGGTTTTCTGCCAACATTTTCAACCCGCTCCAAGTCTCCCCACACGCTTTCATCTTCTCTTCACATGATCTTCTACAAGTCACCTTTGCACTGACAACCAACTCGCCGGTTACCTTTCGGGTTCCAATCCACCAAAGGCCTGTCTAGGGATGTCAATTGACGATTTGTTTGCTCAGAGTATGGCCAACCAATCCACCTCCATTTCTTCCTGCCTATTTGTTTCACAATCGGTTCCTGCTGGGTTGGTTTGCTCATTGCCAGAAGTCTCTATTGCTGATACTTTCTGGCCATCTCATCTTGAGTATTGAGCAAAGACAGCTAGCTGTTGATGAAGGTCTGTAGTTTGTCTGAGATGCTCTTTATGACGCACTGGTCAAGTCTCTGATCCGTATAGTGAGTAGCACTGACTGACTTCACATTGGAGTTGAAAATCCAGATCTTATTTTTGATTCTGAGTGGGGCTGTTGACCTCCTGCACACAGACTTTAGAGTAATGAAGTCTTGTCTTGCTTTTCCGATCCTCGCTTCTTTGATATCTTCGTCAGTTCCGCCCGCCTGTAGTTGAAACAATGCTTCTCAGGTCGGTAGGTTGGTGAAGGAGGTTGTTTCTTTCAGTTTACTCTCATTCATGCTGACTGCTGTTTGTTGTTGTTGCTGTTGGTGTTGGCCAGGAATCTTCATCACCTCTGATTTCTGTACGTCCTCCTGAAGGAAGTTCTATCTTTGATGCTTCTTCTGCCAACTTGTTCCCGTTCACTTGCATATCTTCCAGTTTGTGGGAAATCAGACATATATCATCATCGACGAAGTCCAGATCCTCCAAGTATTTTGTGCGAGTCCATTTTATGCCTGTTTCCTCGTTGGTTGCCGTTGTCTGTCGCATTATCCAATCTACTGCAGTCAAGAAAATCATTGGCGATTGTAGGCAGCAAGCCTTGTCTCACTCCCGTCTTTACATCGAAGGCTTCCGTAAGTTTCGCGTCGTGGATTACCTGGCATGCAGCATTGTCGTATAAGTAGAAACCAAGTCGGAAATCAAATACTTAGGCGTCACTCTATCTTCTGATCTTTCCTGGTCGTCTCATATCTTGACGATTTCCAAGAAAATATACCGTCTTACCTTCTACATCAAGAAGTTAAGACATTCTGGTGTAACCCAACCCTTACTCCTACAATTTGTTAACTCCCGTATTCTGCCTATTATTCTCTATTGCTCCCCTTAGTTTTTCCTGGGCTATTGAAGAAAGACTATACCTTATTACGTAGGATGTTAAAGGTTGTCAGCAGGGTAAGCAGTTTGCCACTTAGCCAGCTTGTTAATATTCTGGTGGACAGGCACATGGACTCATGTGAAAAATGGGCGAAATCCATTTTATCTGACTCACAACACCCTCTACATTCACAACTCTCCCCATGTATCTCTTCAGGGAAAACAAGAAGCCTATATAGGAAACTATATGCTCGCACTAGTAAGTACAAAAACTCATCCATACCCTACCTAGCCCGTGTTCTGTGCGATAAAGAATGCATCAGGCATGAAACCTATAACTTATTAAATAGTCAGTAGAACCAATGGATCTCGTCTTTCCAACTCACATCATTTATAGGTACAACGTGTTCTCGCTCTTCATTCTGTATTTTATTTTTGTTATGTGCTGTTTTGTTTCTCTCTTCCTTGCAAACTCTACTTAAAACATTCTTGTTCGTTCTTTCACACTCTGTACATCTCGAACATTTTGCTATCGCTTACGCCAGTAAATATGCTAGTAGTATCTACTTTTCTAACACCTTCAAACACTTTAATTTTGGCTTTGCTACCGACATACTAATATGTTGTTGAGATAACTTTAATCTATGTAGAACTTTATTTATTATTAATGTAAAAACTGGATGCAATATTGTAGTAAAATGCTGAGAATTCCATTCTGTATCACAAGTACTGATTTGGAATAAAGCTTATGTTATGTTATGTTATGTTAACTGTTGGATGAGATACATAATTGTCGATGGGACCCCGTAGTAGCGAAGCAGTTGCCAAATCACCTCTCGATCGACGTTGTGCTATCGAAGGCCTTTTCAAAGTCGATGAAGTTGAGATGGAGAGGTGACTGCCATTCCAAGCGTTGTTCTATGATCATACGTAGTGTTGTAGTGAGTAAATGAATTGGAAATATCATCATCATCACTATTATTATTTTCTCCTTTAATTCCTAGAGGAACAGAGGGCTTCAGCTGCACGTCTCCACTACGTTCGGTTCTCCACCAACGTTTTCACCTGGCTCCACGCCTCCCCATAAGCTTTCATCTCTTCTTCGCATCACCTCCTCCATGTCACCCTCTTACTGATGACCAACTCGCCACTTCCCATTCTGTCGGGTTCCATTCGAGCGATGGCTTGGCATGTGATGTCATTCAGTTGATGGTTTGTTTGCTGAAAGTATGGTCAAAATCCTGAAACCAATCTGGAAATCTTCGTCACTCAGCCAGAATCAACAAAAAAATTCAGTCGGATTTACAATACAAACAACGTCAAGTCAGTCAGTTCTTCTATACGGATCAGAAACT